TATTGTCTGATTCGCCCTCAGGTACACATTATTTTTAAACATATCACCTTACCATTTAAGTAGAACTGTTTAAAATGTTGGAGACTTAAATAAGATCAAATTGAGTTTGTTTAATAAATGACCTCAACTTATTCATTTTCATTAAGCAGTAACCAAAATCAGATATTTGGTGGAATGTCACCCAGATTTATTCCAGTAAACTGAAGTAATGGAATAAAATGAATTAAACAGGATCCAGCTCACTGGCTGAATTTCTTCCCCACCCCTTTATCCAGGACAAGATGCCCAGTGTGAGCCAAAGGATTCATTCCCTCGCCATTCAATTCACTTCTCTATGGCATAAAGCAAAGTGGAAGATGCTGGGGGAGATAAGGATTAGTGAGACAGAGTTCTTTCCTACAGAATCTTTTATTCAACTCACCTTTGCTTGGGTAAAGGCCATATCATATGTCCATGTCCCTTTCCAGTCTCCTCCCTCTTGTGTCCAAAGCAGGTTCAGTTCACCCACTTCTTAAGGAGAGTGAATGACTACTGGCATTCCACAGCTGACCCTATCAGTCCTGCTGCCAGGTTCCAGCCCAGGACACACTCCTTTCGTCTGCTCACCTGTTTTAGCCACACCTCAATTTATCTTGGGCTTCTCCTCCCACATCTCTTGGCACCATGAGAGAGTCTCCTGGATGACCAGATGCTTCCCTGGTCCTGAAAACAGCAAACAGACTTTGTCATTGAAAAGGTTTTACTGTTCATCAATCCAGAGGAAGATGATAAAAAGAACAGATACAGAAGTTTCAAAATCTTACTGATGTCTAACATTCCCAGTACTTTGGAGATATAAAAACATCATTAGAATTTTCCTGCCACTGTATAAAAAGTAAGAAAAATATGCTTTTTTCTCATTGACCCTTCCTCCACATAACACTCTTTTGAAGGGCCTGCTCCCCAACATATGTGGGCCATTTGCAACTCCAAAGGCCCCAACCTGGCTGTCTTCCATGCTAAGAGCCTGCTGAGTCCCTGAAGATCCCCCTGGTGACACCCTTCATCCTGTAGTTCACAGGCAACATCTTTTAGGAAAAACAAACACCTCTGGGCTCAGGACCTGTTTGCAGCTATGTGGGTATTCATGTTCTGAGGCTCAGACAGAGTCTGGAGTTGACAGGTCCTGGTGGGGTCTGAATGGTAAATAACTGTCTCTCCACTCCTCACCACCCTCAGAACTGCCAAAATATAGAATGGAGCAGGTGGTAGCCAAGCATTGTGCTGTTGTGACCACAGCAAGTACGCCAGGGAGACTTCTGGCAAATACTGGGACTTGTGGTGATGGCAGGAGGGAAGCAGTTCTCCACAACTCTGGGCTTTTCTTTTCTAGACTGCCCTAAGGGGAACAGAGACCAGTCCACTGTACTCTAACTAGGAATCTTCTCTACACTGTCTCCTCTCAAATTCAACACTTATACTTGACCAGCAAACTTGAGCTGTGCTTCAGAAATATATCATTTTTCTACTTAGAAATCACATTTATGTTTTGTTACCAAAAGTGTAAAGTTGGAATTCCTTAACCTGACATACAGAAAACCTTACTGGCCTGACTCTGGTCTTCTTTCCCTAACATTACTAGATGTCCTTTCCTATTATAAGATGACATGAAGATGATAATAAGCTGAGCATGTGCCAGGACCCTTGAGTGTGAAGCTGTTATCTCCAAAACTTGAGTACCATTCAGCTAGTTTGTCTCTCTCAAAATACGTTACTTAATCTTTGAACTTTTGCTTGTGGTCCTTTCCTGTTTTTGTTTGTTTGTTTTTAACTAGTGATGGGAATGAAACCCAGGTCCTGGGGCACGCTAGACAAATATTCTATCACTGAGCCCACTCCCAGTTTTCTTTAACTCATTTTTGAAGCCCACTGAAAATACATCTTTCCTCTCACCTCCTGTAGTGGTTTGGAATATTGCTGTGTCAGATTTCCACAAACTTAGGTTAAAACAGTGCCCATTTTTACCGCACAGTTCCTTAGGTCAGAAGTGCAGGTCATGGGGGCTCAGCTGGGTCCTCAGTGTATCTGACAAGACTTACATCAAGAAGGCTCTGAGGATAAATGTGCTTCCAGGCCCATCATGGGGTTGTCTACATACAGATCCCGGTGTTGCAGGGTGTCAGCTGACACTGGCCTTTGCGTCTCCTGGCTGTCCTATTCTTTCTATCAATGATAAAGTGAGTCTTTCTTAGGCTGTGCATCCCTCTGTTGCTTTCATTTCTCTGACTCTCTGTTTTGTTTCTCCCTGGAGAAAGTGCTCTACTGTCCTTATGAAAACTTATGATTCGATGGGGCCCACCTGAGTAATCCAGGATAATTTATTTACTTTAAGGGCTGTACACTAAAAAGTTATGTTGTAACTTATTTACAGGTTCTGGTGAGTTAGGTATGAACTTGCTGGGGGCCATTGTCCGGATTCCCACACCTCACCTCTGCTAAGCATAGCTAAGTGACCTTTAGTGGTATTCTCAAACACATTGTACTTAACTTAGCATCTTCTTGGGTGTCCTTGTGCCAGAGCCTGAGTGGCCACTGGATGTTTGCAGCCCTTCCTGAGGCCCTGCCAACTTGCTGTCTGGAGCTATTCCACTTGGGGTCCTAACCCCCTAATCCTGCTCCAAGCTCCATCAAACCCCTCTCTCTCCCAAGTCAGGAGTTGTGCATGAGTCCTCTCTGCTCACTTCACCACCCTCTCATCCAGCCCAAAGTCTTTATTGAGATTAAGGGGCAATAGGAGGTGGGAAGACTCAAATTAATGTAGTAACAGATTATTCCTTCACAAAATAACTGGGAATCGTGGAAGAAGCCATAGATGTTTGACCTAGTGCTAGAAGAAGAGGTAGGCTTTCCACAGACTATGAAAGGGCAAGGAAGATGGCCCACCAGGCAGAGGAATGGAAGGCAGATGGGAATGGACAGAGCATGCTGGAGTGTGTGCCCAGGGAATAGTGGCAGGGGCTGAAAGGCCATGGCACAGATAGAGAAGCGATGGTCTCCTCCCAGCAAGGATTCCACCCAAGTCCCCAGCTTTGGGATGTTTCACTGCAAATTCCATGGCAGACCCACCAATAGATAGACCACTGGAATTGTCATGAGAGATCAGAAACTGTATTTAGCACAGAATAAAATGTTATTTTAAAGTTTGGCTCCATGGTAGAAAGGGACTTTAGTCTATTTTCAGTATAGCCCATAACCAGGAGGCTTCCTGCCAGGACCAGGATCTGGCAAGGAGACCCTACATAAATAAGAGTATGTATCTACTCCACCAAAGTCATTAGGAGTGTCCTTTGATCACAGGACTATTTGCTTGCGTCTCCACAGTAATTTGGCATTTGATCTCATCAGAAAAGGGACAAGCAGTCAGGGAGTGTAGCTCAGTGTGAAAGTGAAGTGCATGCTTATCACACACAGGCCCAGGGTTCAATCCACAGCACCCTAAAGAAGAAAAGAAAAGGGGGGAATTGAATTCCAGAGAATAGATGAGTATACAGTAGTCATTTTTATACCTGGAGGATCCAAGAGCCCCAGTGGATGCTTGAAAGCATGGATAGCACAGAAACCTGTATACACAATATGTTTCCAACACATACACAACTATGATGAAACTTAATATATTAATCAGGCACAGTAAGAGATTAACACAAACAATAACAATAAAATGATATATTCAAAGTAAGGTGAATGTTGTATCAATATATCTTATTGTACTGTATGTACCCTTCTTCTTCTAGTGATGATGTGAGATGACACAGTGCCTGCATGATGAGGTGAGGTAAAGTTGATGACATCATGATGTAATGTTAGGCTACTGTTGATCTTTTGACCACAACTTCAGAAGGACTGTTGAGTCACAAGGATGCTTGTTGAATTTAAGTGTGTGTGTGTGTGTGGGGGGGGCAATGGGGCATTTTAGTTTTTACCCAATGTATACTTATGTTTGAATAGTTATAACACCTAAGGTAGGTGTTAATCTTGAAAAGCATTTGTGCTATAATTTCTTCTTCAGTAGGACTCATATCTATAATGTGAAATTGCAATTTGAAAACAGCCTCTCCCTTACTTTCTCTAATCTCCTTTGTGTGCATTTTTCTTTCCTTTTTTTTCTTTCTTTCTTTTTTAATTTTAAATTTATTTATTTATTCTAATTTGTTACATATGACAGCAGGATGAATTTCAATTCATAGTACACATATACAGTACATATTTTCGTGTCTCTGTTGTATACAAAGTAGAGTGACAACATTTGTGACGTCATACACATACTTAAGGTAATAATGTCCATCTTATTCCACCGTCTTTCCTACCCCCATGACCCCTCCCTTCCCCTCTCTCCCCTTTGCTCTATCTAAAATTTCTCCATTCTTCCCATGTTCCCCCCACCCAATCCCCATTATGGATCAACATCCACATCTTATCTTATCTTTTCTTTTCTTTCCTTCCTTCCTTCCTTCCTTCCTTCCTTCCTTCCTTCCTTCCTTTTCTTCTCTTTTTTCTCTCCCCTCTTCCTTTCCTCCTTCCCTCTCTCTGTCCCTCCCTCTCTCTCGCTTGCCTGTTTGTTATTATTACCAGGGTTTGAACCAGGGGTGCTTAGCCACTGAGCAACATCTGCAGCCCTTTTTATGTTTTATTTTGAGACAGGGTCTCCCTAAGTTGCCTAGGGCCTCAGTAGATATTTGAAGCTGATTTTGAACTTGTGTTGCTCCTACCTCAGCCTCCAGAGCCACTGCGGTTGCAGGTATGCACTCTGGGCCTAGCTATGAGAATTTTTTTAAGTCAAGGAAATAGAGTATATAAGCTGCATGTAAATGTCCAAAATGACATTTTCCTGAGTTTGACAGATATACAATTTCTCTTGGATATAAGACATGATTAGGTGACATCATTCTGTCCTAGGTTTGCATATAAAAGTTAGTTTTGTGGACATGTCAGCTGCCTCACCATGTGTATTTTCTTCCAATTAGGTGGATGCTCATGGAAACATTCTGTTAACAACACTGGAGGTTCACAATGAAATGAACGAGGTTACGGGAGGTGATACCAGGAATTCACCAATGACCTTTGACAACTCAGGAGTCCAGTTCAGGAAACAGAGCATGCCCCGGGAAGGGCATGGGCGGTACATGGGAGACAGAAGCATCCCGCACAAGAAGACCCACCTACGGAGGAGGTCTTCGCAGCTCAAAATTAAGATCCCTGATCTAACCGATGTGAATGCCATAGACAGATGGTCCAGGATCGTGTTTCCATTCACTTTTTCTCTTTTCAACTTAGTTTACTGGCTGTACTATGTTAACTGAGTGACTGTACTTGATTTTTCAAAGACTTCATTTAACACTGAGTGAAATATTACCCTGCCTGTCAAGTTTTTATACCTGTACACACACAGACACACACACATGCAGACACACACACACACACACATATATACATACGCAATTGTATATATATGTGAACTTTCTCAGCATATATATAAAATACACGTGTATATGAGGATGTATGTGTATGTGTTTATACACACAGGTGTGAGCACCCATGTGTATGTCAAACAAATACACATACATATATACATTTTGCAGCTATGGACAATTTAACACAGGATGCATATGAAAGAAAGTCATAGTTTTTTCTTTTTTAATGAAAGGGACAAGTATCATCTAAATATTTTGCCTTGAGAATGAGGGTGTGAAACACAATATCATCCCAAAATGTGTCTTTTATTATCATAAGTTAGATGTTTTAGTTTAAAAGTCAGAAAGAAATCCTTAGTTAATCTTCAGAAACTCATACAGTGGTATCTCTAGTTTAAAATGAGTCACACACTTCATATCCTCTCTCTCAGTTTACTGAGTGAAGCCTGCTGGCTTTTCGGTTGATGGGGTTTGTTTTCAGTGGGTGTACTTTCTCGGTCATGCTTTAGTGGATGAGGTGAGTCGCTGGCCATGCACTTACCTGTTGTCTTAAACGTAGATAGGTCCCATGTTGACGTCTGAACATCCATCTTTTGAAACCCATTGGGAGTGAGTGCATCTCATTGTAAGTACTCTGATATCCAGCATGTGTGGGTTTTTCATTGTTGTTGTTGTTCACTCGGAGTGGATCCAGCTTAACTGTTGTGTGGGAACACGGTGGCACGTTTTGGCAATGACATTCAATCACCAAAAATGTGCTCTACATCTCCTACGGATTTCTAGGCCTGATATCCAACAGAAAGCATAGACGTCTCAGGTTCTTTGTTACTCTAAGGTAAAACCATCTAGGCTGATTTTCCCCCTTGCAGTTACGTTATCATTCATTCTTATAACATTGTATGTTACTATAAAATATATTTGCATAATATGCATACATATGTATATTTACCAAGGTTTTGTTTCTTATGCTTGCTATCATGGCAGCATGCAATGTCATATTTTTCATTATGTGATGTAACTACTTTCTGTTATCTAGAAATTAAGATTGAAGCTAAAACACCTCTACTGTTCGCTTTCAGAAACTAAGAAACATCCTCATGCCTTTATTTCTGTATCTGACATGTCTCATAAGCACATCCAACTACTCCTAGGCTGACTAGGATTCTGCAGGAACACTACCAGTACACACCACACATCACCCAACAACCCATGACCGTTCTCTGAGGCAAAAGAGGGCAACCTGACAATTAACACAGTCACTTTTGGTTCCTTCTATTCCACAGCCTCATCAGTATTTGGACTTTTTAAAGCTCGTAGAAACAAGACAAGGTGCACCGGTTTCATAGACGCAACCTTAACTTACTATTTAGATGAGATCTTTCTAAAGAAAAAAAGATGATATATTTTTTGTAAACAATATTTCTATCACAGGCATCCATAAACTGAAATGACTACAGTTGTGCAAACAGGTGTCACAGTGAAGTTCAGCATTTGGAAGACAAAACAAAAAGCAAAACATGCAGGAAAGAACTGCTAAATTAATACTTTATCCCCAAATGCCACATACTCCTCACCCTCTCTGTTCTGTCCAAAATGAATGACCAGAATCTGGTCCAGAGCTCAAATGACTGGTGTCAGCTTTTTCCAAATAGGTAGAGGCACTGCCCTCCCTGAGGATGGGTGTGGTGTGTGGACTGTCACCATGAGCGGACCACGACTTGATTTTTCTTTGGTGGCCATAGCAACCTTTAATTTGTGGGAGTCCGTGACAGTTCACAACCCACCATCAGAGAAAACATGATCCACAAAATCTCATGCTAGAGTCAATTACCAATTTTTATACCCGTTTCCCTCCTTCATTCCTTTCTTCAGCATCTTCTCCCAACTGCTGCTCTCTGGTTTTATTTTTGTCGGGAGATGAGCCAGTGATATCTTGGTCTTTGGCTTCTCTCTGGCAATTTTTTTTTTCATGGGTAACAATGGGGGAATCCTAAAAGTTCAACAGATTGGGGAAAACCTTGTAAGTGGCCTTATCATTGTTAACATGTAAAAGAAAAAAAAAACACACACAAAACAAAACATTTGAAAAGACCTTATCCCTTTCAATACTTCAGGTATCTTTTTTTCTGTATCCAGTAATTAAAGATGTGAGCTACACATGAGGAAGAGGGACCCCATGATGCAAACGAACCTGGACAAAAGCAGTTGATGATGGATTTAAGTGTATAATTTATACTATTCAGAACTGTGACATTAATTCTTTCTGGGACAAAAGATATTCAAACATTTTTTTGATGCACAGTTGAGGTACCCAAATATCAAAGGCAGAGACCCCATGGGGCTCAAAAGAGCAGCAGTCTACTTCCCAAGGTTTTCTGGATTTAAATTTGCATGGTATAGTCATAATAGCTTTTGAGCTTTTTATATGCATTTGGCACCAAGACTGGGATCCACAACTTTGTAGACACTGCGATGAAGTTAACATAATAGCTATACTATAAATAGTGTTTGTAACTACACACACATACACACACACACATACATACATATATTCTGTAAAAAAAAACGACGACAACAAAACACAACTTTTTAAGATCCTTGGGTATGTGTTTGCTTTATCCATTTCAGAAGGAAATTACTTTTCTTCTAATGAAATTATTTTATAGCTTCTCCATTTTTAAAAGTTGTGAGAAATATTGAAAGAAGAGAATTCTGGCTGTGTTAACACAAAAGAGTTGAATCTGATTCTCGGTTCTGTTAAAAATGACCTCTCATTACTCCACAGTAGGTATTGGAGCCAGCGAGTGACAGTGTTAAGGAGTTCTGAACCCGGATCTCTGACATTAAAGTGAGGTGGCTGTTGCCCATACCCAGACCTCTTGAGTAAGGAGAGAAAAGTTTAATTTGGAAACAAATGAAATTTCTTTCTCAACAACTGAAAGGAATAAACTGTTAATTTTCTCAGTAGTCCTGTCTCCAAAATGCTTCACAGGGGGCTCAAAATGTACAGAGGAATCTTATGATGACAGTTTGCTATTTCCCATATTCAAACGTTCTAGAGACGATTCAAGAGCCCTCCTACATAAATCCCTCCAGAGAAAGACTGATCAGACTTGAGTCATCTTCAGAACAAGTGTCATTCCTGTTCACCGACCCCAGGACTGTCGAGGGGTTTCACTGTCTATACCATGACACACTCATTTCCCCCCTTGAATCTCAAATGAACTAGAAAGTATGTCATGATAATATTCCCTTCAGGTTTTAAAGTGACATGTCCATCTGCAGTATCGTGTGTTTCTAATGCCAGCACTGGAACTTTGACATCTTCTGTCACTCCCATCAAAGGCACTTCTCTCCTGTCCAAACATGGAACTGACATTTCCACCAAGGAGATCATCTCAGAGGGGATGCCAAACAAGTTGGGGACAGATTTTAAGGGAACAGGCACATGGCAGTGGTAGGTGTTCATGTTCAGCATCTAGTAGGTAAACCATTGGTGTTTGTCCTATAAGGGTATGTTCTAAAAAGAGATGTTTCCAACTTTAAGTCTCCTGGCTTGAAAGTATAAATCATTCCATCATTCTTAATTTAACTCTCCACCTGAAACCAGTTCCTATTTCTGGCCATTTTATGAAAGCCAAATTTAAAAATTGGTGAAATCTTTGTTACTCTTGAATCTAGGTTGGCTCTCATCTTAGTGTGAGACCTCCATGAGAGTAACATTGAATTTGGGGCAAAGAGTTGCCCAGGTGGAATAAATTTTCCCAGGACACTAGCTAGTGTGCCTTGGATTGATTACCTCTTCTACTGCATTGAAAGGTGCCATGTTTTCCTGAATTACTAAATTCCCAACACCTGGGTAAACAGTGGCCTCCCAGAGAGTGGCTCAGGTACCATGCCTCTCCCTGGGGACAGCCCCATGAACATGTTTTGTCATTCTTGTCTCATTTTTCTACTTCACAAGTCAGTGAGTGTGTTCAAGGTAAGTACAGAATTATTCTAGTAGGAATAGATGATTGCTGTCATGATCAATTCCCATGTTGATTTCATTTCATTGTAAAGATAAATTTAAACCCGGTTTTGCTTAAGCACATTGATGTAATTTTTGGTATTATTTGACATGAAAAAAACAGCAAAATTGAGTGATAGATACAATATGAAACTTGTTGATGAATGAATTCAAATTTATTAAAAAAGGACTAACTGACTTAAATGTGAAGACTGATTTTTTTTTTCTTCCTTGGCTATCTCTTATTGAAATGGTATGGCTATTTAATCCTGGTCATTCTCAGTTGTACATATGCATTTGGGTTATGCTAGAAGTAAAAGGAAATGAGCTTAAAATTGATTGCATAAGAAACCAATTGAACTTTGACTCAAAATTAAAAAAAAAAAAGGTTGCATTTTAGTTTGAATTTCAAAGGACAGATAGACACACCCAGAAAGTATCTAACTTTCTGCAGGTGAATCTTTTGAGAAAAATAGAATTTAAATTAAAGGCCAGGGAACAAGTCCATCAATAACCTCTGGCCAAGATGGCATTGATCATTATCTTTAGTTCCTTCATTTACTTTCCAGGAAGAAAGCAAAAGGCAATGTCTTGGATGAATGAATGAATGAATGAATAAATGAATTCAGATTTTTGGACACCTCAAACCAGAAAAACTTAAGAACTATATCTCTAGGCTCCCAGAGAAATTGTTGACTCATCTTCAAACACTTCAAGAGGAAAGCTCAAAAAAGGTTTAAAGTCCCACAAAATGCACTCAGCCAGTTGGAGTTTAATACCAGGTTTACCTTCAAATTTGTATACTTGAAGCAAAATTATGGAAATCCTTCAGTAATTTATTACAGATTTGATTTTCATTATTTTTGTGTTTCATTGTATGAAGAAGACTTTTGCATTCATGGTCTTCTTTGGGACCCTGACTTGGACATATCTCAGACTATTCCTTTGTCTGTGATTAGACTCTTCCTTTGTCTGTGGCTAGCCTATTCCTTTGTCTATGGCTAGAACATAACCACATGGACACTTCTCATCCATGACAATGTTAAATGACCAATAACTGCAGAAGAAAGGATTTCAAATGCTGACTGAATTTCTTCAAGCTTCTTCTAAAAAACATCCTTCTTTTGGTCCATGGAGGAGGCCTCCCTGAATGTGGAGGCCAGTTATACCCAGATTGCTTACTTCCCTGGCCCATGGCTGACATGGCCCACATTCACCTTTGGCAGTTTTATAATTCTTGCTCTAAATTCCTTTTTACTAGCTTCTAATGGTTAGAGACTGTCAACACTCCTTGGAATAGGAACATGATCTTCAGAAAAGACTGACTCTTTGAAACCTTTGATACATTCTTGAGGTAGGACCATTTAGCCTCATGTAGGACTAAATCAGCAGTAGTGCTTGATTGAGGTACTGCTTGTATTGAAGGGACACACTCCACATGACCCTTGCCTCTTAGATAAACATGGTCCAATTAGAATCAACAGGGAAGCAATGCAGAGGATACAGGTATATAAAATGCAAGGGACTGAGACTGGGGCATGGCTCAGTAGTAGATCCAGTGCATGCACAAGACCCTGGGTTCAATCCTGAGCAATAATAATAATAATAACAATAATTCACTGAAATGGAAGACCACAGCATGGTGGGTATAAGTGTGTGCATCTTAAAACAAACAGGGATTTAGGTGATAGCCCTGATTCATTTTTATTTATTTATTTATTTTTCTTTCTAATGTACAATAATAGTAGCACATATTGTGGGATACAGTGTGATTTCAGTACATGTATAAAATATGTACCAACCAAATCAGGGCAGTTGTCATTTCTCATTCCCTTATTACTTCTTTATGTTTGGAGCCTTTAAAGTTCTTGATAGTCACCCTTCTATGCTGTAGAACATTAGAACTTATTCCTTTAATCTAACTGTATTTTTGTATCTGTTTTGCAGTCTCCCTCTATAACTGCTCCCTGCTACCCATCCTAGTCTCTAATAATCACTACTATACTCTCTTCTACTTTGAGACCAACTTTTTTCAGCTTCCACACATGTGGGTCTACTTCCCCTTCTGAAAAAGATCATACTGTCTTTGTCTTTCTGTGTCTGGTTTATCTCACTTAACAGAAGGTCCTCTAGTTTCATCCTTTCTTCCACAAAATTTATTATTTTTATGGCTCAATAATATGCCACTGTGCATATACACTATTTTCTTCGTACATTCAGACACTGATGGGCACGAAGGTTGATTCCATATCATGGTTAATGTGAAAAGTGCTGCAATCAACATGACTGTCTACTTTTAGATAAAAAAACCCTGTTTCTTTTTCTCATTTTCTACCTCCCATCTTGTCGGCTGTAGCTATACTTTTACAATGTCAAGGTTGAAGATATTTACACTCTGCCTGCAATCATAGAAATATGTGTCTGCCATTAATAGTATGTTTACAGATTGAGTCTGAAAGTTTAAAATTAACAACCCAAATTTTTGAGATATACTTTGCATATTGTTTTATTTTTATTGTAATTATTCAATCATAGTTACAAAAAGAATGGGTTTCACTGTGGCATGTCTGTATATGCATCTATTGTGTTTTTATTATATGCACTCTGCTTACTACCCTATCTTGTCCTCTCTCTTTCCCACTCTCCCCTCGGTTCCCTTCTTTTTCCACTTTTTATTGTTATTATTATTTAGTTTTTATGTATGGGAGAAAACATGTAACATGTTTCTGGGTCTGGCTATTTTCTCTTAACATGCTGTTCAGTGCCATCCATTTTCTTGCAAATGACTTGATCTCATTCTTCTTTATAGCTGGATAAAATTCTACAGTGTATAAATACCATGTGTTTTCAATCCATTCATTTGCTACCAGGTACCTAGGCTGATTCCATATCTTAGTTATTGTGAAAAATGCTTCAGCATATGTAAATACGGGCATGCTTCATTTATATGCCCAGGAGTGATATAGGATGAATATCCAATGGTAGATCTTCTCTAGAATTTTCAGGAATCTCTAAATTGTTTTACATAGTGACTGTGCTAAATTATATTCACACCAGTGATATATAAGGGTTTCTTTGCCTCCAAATCCTCTCCAGTATGAGAGTTTTAAAATTTTTTATTACTATTATGACAGAGATAAGATGGAATCTCAATTAAGTTTTGATTTGCATTTCTGATGGCCAAGTGTGTTGAACATTTTTTTTCATATATTTACTGGCCATTTGTACTTCTTTTTTAGAAGTGCTTGTATTTTTAAATTATTTTTAAATTTGTTCACTTATTTATTGGGCTTTTTGTTAACTTTTTGAGTTCTTTCTATATTCTGGATGTTAATTTTCCATGAGATGAATAGCTGGCAAATATTTTCTCCCATTGAAGGTTGACTCTTCATTCTGTTGATTGTTTCCTTTGCTCTGCAGAAGGTTTTTAATTAATGTAATCTCATTTATCAAATCTTGCTTTTATTTCTCAAACTCATGGAGTTTTATTTGAGAAATCATTTCCTATGCAAATATCTTGCAGGATTTCTCCTGTTTTCCTCTAGTACTAGTTTCAAAGTTTCAGGTCTTAAATTAAGGTCTTTGATCCATTTTAACTTGAATTTTCTGAGAGAAAATGATCCAGTTTCAGTTTTCTTCATGTGGTTATTCAGTTTTCTCAACATCTTTGGTTGAAGGGCTGTTTTGTCTTCAACATATGTTTTTGGCCCTTTGTTGAAAATAAGATGACTATAGATGTATGGATTTATTTCTGAGTTCTGTGTTCTATGGGTCTGTTTGTTTGCAAATACCATGCTGTTTATTTTTAATTTTTTAGTTGTAGGTGGACATAATATCTTTATTTTATTTTATTCTTACAGTGCTGAAGATCGAACCCAGTGCCTCACGCATGCTAGGCACATGCTCCACCACTGAGCCACAACCCCAGCCCACCATGCTGGCTTTTAATTATGGCTCTGTAGTATATTTTGAAAACAGGTATAGTGATGCTTCCAGCATTTGAACTACACTTTTATAAGTACAGTTCCAAGTTTAGCATTGGGTTTGAATATGTTAAGATAATCATTAGAAAATGGAGAAAACCCTCAGGTACTGTAGTTTTTCTGCCCGGAAAATGGGATTCATTGATTGCCTGTGAGACAGGGTTGTCCAGTCAGTTATTACTGCATGGATGATGCTTAAGATATTTACATTTCCAAGTCCAACCATACTGCAGCCTGGAGGAGTTTATGTAGAAGTTAATTCTAAAGTTGAAAACCAATTGAAAATCTGATGTCATTAAAATTATATTAATATTATTCAAAGCAGAGGTAAACAATTTGCTTGGTATTCTTTCCAGTTTTAGAAGTCCAATGTCTCAATCTTGGGCTGTTTGAAGACTTTTATTCCTAAGGTCCAGTTCAGATGAATTACTTTGCCTACATTCCTTTAACTAATCCAAGGCACATAGCCCTTACGTTTGTTATCAAGACTTTCCTGGGTTTAATTCCTCTCCATCACCCACAAATACCCATTCTAGTGTCTCTAATTTCCATTCTTCTTTTTTAATGAGGAAAGAATGCTATATTTTCTTAATCTGGTATATAAATATAACATTTTTCACTACTTCAGTCATTAAATTTAGTGTTGGAAATCTTTTCTAATTTCCTTCATGAAGATATCCTTCTCGGTGTTGACTCACTTCCCTTGTGAATTAGAGCTGTTTACTTTTTGGACCTGTTGCAAAATCCTTGTCCTATTTCATTCCATTAGACTTCTGGATTCATTACATGATTTTTTTTCAAATAGCCCATGTCTTTCTCTTTTTTGATTTTATCTCCTACATCAACTCAGTTCACTGTCAGTCAATAAGGTTGTATGTGACAGAAAGTTCTTGAGGTTTTAAATTCTTTCCTTAACTAAGGGTAGCTAGGTATTGACTTGTGGATGAAAGTAATTTCCCTTGAAATTTTAAATAATTGTTCTATTGTATTTCAGCATGCAGTGATACTGTTAATGTGTTTAATGTCAGACTATCTTTGTTACACATAGTTGAGTCACCCCCAGCTCTTCACTTTCCTATTCCCCAAAATTGTTCATGGCTAAAGGGAGATCTGATGATATATTTCTGGTATTTTATAAAGTAAATCTTTTTTAAAACTATAGTGTTGGATCTTGGGTGAACCTCAATCTAAAACACAATTTTTCTTAGCTCTAGA